AAACCAAGGTAAGAAAAGGGGAAGACGGTGTGGCAGAATCAGTGGCATGATGGCCCCCAAACCAAGCTATGGATTCTGATTTCTGCCCCACCTTGGGAACAATATCTTGACTACCAGGAGCACTTTGCTACTCACTATGGAAGGGGCAGGCTGGATGAGGGTCTCAGGTGCATATAGTCAGATTCCTCCTCCTGGGAGAAGCCCTGGACACTCTTCTGTCCCCTAACAAAGCTCAAGCCTAAGCAGAAGTTGGTGCTTCTTCTACCCCATGAGTGTGCTTAACTGCCCTCTGGTTAAGGGGTAAGCATCGAGAGCCACGGACTTGCTGGTGACTCCTCTGGAGCATGGTGCTAGGTGTTGGGGGTTCCACTGGAGGGGAGAACCCAGGGTGGGAGAACCCAGAGGAGGGGATATGGGCAGTGGGAGGGCAGACAGCTTCTCTGGCTCACTCCAGGCCCAGCCATGGGGGATGCAGAGATGGCCGCCTTTGGGGCTGCCGCCCCCTACCTGCGCAAGTCAGAGAAGGAGCGGCTGGAAGCCCAGACCAGGCCTTTTGACCTCAAGAAGGATGTCTTTGTGCCTGATGACAAAGAGGAGTTTGTCAAGGCCAAGATTGTGTCTCGAGAAGGTGGCAAAATCACTGCCGAGACTGAGCACGGCAAGGTAGGTGGCAGAGCTGAGGTGAGGGGTCACTGTGGACACCTCCACACCTGGGTACACACAGGGTCCACCCAACACACACTCAGGACAGCGTGGGTCTCCTCTCCTTTGGGTAAAAATCTAAACCCTCCTTCTGAGGAGCCCATCTCATTCCTGTATTAATCAGTGCTCACTGCCAGAGCCTGGATCCTTCTTTGCCAAACTCCATTGTCCTGTGCCTCACTCTGCTCCTTCCCATGTGAGGAAGGAGGGAAAACTCGGGCTGATGGGAGGGCCTGTGGGCCTGTTGCAGACGGTGACAGTGAAGGAGGACCAGGTGATGCAGCAGAACCCACCCAAGTTCGACAAGATCGAGGACATGGCCATGCTGACTTTCCTGCACGAGCCCGCAGTGCTGTACAACCTCAAGGAGCGCTACGCGGCCTGGATGATCTATGTGAGTGGTGGCTCTAGGCTCTCTCTTGCTTGCCTATGAGCAGCCTGGCCCCATGTTTCCATTCCTGGAGCCAGGATGCCTGTACTTTGTGTGTGGACAGCATGGCACTCGATCCCTGTCCCTATGTCCTTGGCTCGAATCTAACACCCTGGGGACTGGCATGGCCCCGGGGGCAGCACATTCTGAGGTTTTCCTTTCTTCTTTTCCTCCTGTGGGGTCTTCCTCTGACTCTGAAAATCACCACCCTTCCCTCTTCATCAACAGTGGCCCATTTCTCTTTTTCTATGCCCAGACCTACTCCGGCCTCTTCTGCGTCACTGTCAACCCCTACAAGTGGCTGCCAGTGTATAACGCTGAGGTGGTGGCTGCCTACCGGGGCAAGAAGAGGAGTGAGGCCCCGCCCCACATCTTCTCCATCTCCGACAACGCCTACCAGTACATGCTGACGGGTGAGCCCGGCACCCCAGCCTATGCCCCTCAGACCGACACCCACCTGGGCACTCGGCTCACCCCATTGCCTCTCCTGTTTTCCAGATCGGGAGAACCAGTCCATCCTCATCACGTGAGTGTAGCTCCTGCCCTGTTCCCTGTGAGAATACCTGGCCCACACCCGAGCGAGGACCCAGTGTAGACCTACAGTCTGTCTACCAACCCTCAGGCTCATCTCCTCTCTTCTCTGACCCTTGCCCTGACTGTTCTTTGCTCTCCCCTTGCCCTCTCTGCTTTCCATCCCTCTCTTTTCTTTTGCCTCTCACCTACTCTGCCCCAGCTCATCACTTACTTAGCCATAAGCCCATCATCTCCATGTCTTGTTTACCTCTTCATTTTCCTTCATCCTTCCCTTCAGAAAACTTTCTTATTCTTCTAGTCTCCCCCATTCTTTTCCAGAATAGCCCAGGCCCTTGTCCTCTGATTGATCTTCTCCTGTCAAGCACAGGCTCACCCTGTCCAAACCCAGCACCTTCTTGTAGTGTTCTTCCTAATCACTACCCCGACCCCACATAGGTCCACAGATTGCTGTGCGCTTTCAGGGCAGCTTGCTGCTCAGGGCTCCTATTTGGGTAGAACAAGCATCCTCTCACTGATCTCAAGGGCTGTTGTCCTCTAACTCATGAGACCCTGACTGTCCCAACAGTGGAGAATCTGGTGCTGGGAAGACAGTCAACACCAAGAGGGTCATCCAGTATTTTGCTGTTATTGCTGCCATTGGGGACCGTAGCAAGAAGGACCAGACCCCAGGCAAGGTAGGCCTGTTGTCCTCCATGGTACTGCAGTACAGAAAGGCAGGGGGAAGTCTTCCCACCTGACTTTCTTCTTGGTCTCTGTAGGGCACCCTGGAGGACCAGATCATCCAAGCCAATCCTGCCCTAGAGGCCTTTGGCAACGCCAAGACCGTCCGGAATGACAACTCCTCCCGCTTTGTGAGTAGTCCCTGATGTTGGGTTGGGACCTTGGCCTTAAATGTAAGCTTTCCCTCGATTCATTATTACCCTCTTCTATCTCTTCAGGGGAAATTTATTCGAATCCATTTTGGGGCTACTGGAAAGCTGGCATCTGCAGACATAGAGACCTGTGAGTGCCATGAATCTGATAGGGCTCGGTCTGGGCTCACCTTTGTCTGGACCATCTGGTCTCAACCTCTCTCTCGTACCCCTCTGCCTCTGTTTTTCTCTTCTTTTCCTGTCTCAGTCTCTATGTCCGTGTATTTTCATATCTCCCAGACTTTCTTGGGATCTACATCTCTGTCTCTGCTCATCTGTGTGTGTTTCTCTGGGATTTTTCTCCAAGGTCATTTCTCTCCTAGGTCTCTGTCTCTGTACGTGATCTCTGTGTGTCTGTGTTCCAGTCTCTCCCTCTGTCTTTTGCTTGCTACACTTATCAATTTTCCTCTTTTTCCTTGAATTTAATCCTAACTCTTTTTTTTTTCTTCCTTCTTCTATCTGCCTGTTCACAGACCTTCTGGAAAAATCCAGAGTTATTTTCCAGCTGAAAGCAGAGAGAGATTATCACATTTTCTACCAAATCTTGTCTAACAAAAAGCCTGAGCTGCTGGGTGAGTCAGAGCCACCAACTGAGACTAGCTATCTCCATGGCAACCTGGTCCCCATCGCTTGTAGCTGGATTCTGTTAGCATGCCCTGGGTTTTATGGCACTGCTGGATTCACTTTATGGGATGTGGAGCCAAGTCAAGCCCTGTCCTATGTTTTTTCCTGGCCCATGTGTGGTGGCCAACAGCTCCCATGAGAACCAGAGGCTTGTGTCATATCTGAGCATGTTTTCTCCCATTAGATATGCTGCTGATCACCAACAACCCCTACGATTATGCATTCATCTCCCAAGGAGAGACCACTGTGGCCTCAATCGATGACTCTGAAGAGCTCATGGCCACAGATGTAAGTGTATGAGGATCCAGCCAGGCGGTGGAGGATGAGCTGGCAGCACAAGAGGCAGAACTAAGGCACTGGCTGGCTCTTGTTCAAAGCAGCACAGGCCTCTGGGGAGGCCAGAATGTACACTATGACCAGGGTATGCTGGGATATAGATGAGATGAGACAAGACCATCCAGCTTTTGGTATTCAGTCCAACTGGGGAGGGCAGAAAGCCATGGGGCAGAGAAGCAAATGAGGAGAGAAATAAAGCATCACCAAAGGAGAAGGGGGAGGGAGAGTCACTAGGATGCTCGGGGCTGGGACAGGCTCTTAGGTAAAAGATAGACACATACAAGTATGGAAGTCCAAGCAGGGAGCCAGTGTAGGGACTGGGCACACAAGTGAGTAGCCCAGAGTGGCCCAGAGGATAGCTGCGGCTGTAAGAAGGCAGACCTGTGATAGCAGCCTACCCCTGTATCTTCCATCTTTATCCTGGAGTTCCCCACTGTGTGTGGTAGTCTCAGAACTGACAACGACCAAGGAGACAAGTTCTCTCTCCAGTTGGGCTCTTGGTAACTGATCATACTTTTTTCTGGGATCCTTGGAAATGGGGTGTGCCTACAGAATGCCTTTGATGTGCTGGGCTTCACTCCAGAGGAGAAGAACTCCATCTATAAGCTGACAGGCGCCATCATGCACTTTGGAAACATGAAGTTCAAACAGAAGCAGCGAGAGGAGCAGGCGGAGCCAGATGGCACTGAAGGTGGGAGGCAGGGAAGCAAGGGGACAGCTATCAAGTCAGTGAAGGCCACATCTGTACAATCGTCATTCTTTTACCAACCTTGCTACCTGGCCTTTCCTTCCAGAGGCTGATAAATCAGCCTACCTCATGGGGCTGAACTCTGCCGACCTGCTCAAGGGACTGTGCCACCCTCGGGTGAAAGTGGGCAATGAGTATGTCACCAAGGGACAGAATGTCCAGCAGGTGGGTCATCTTTAGAAGAAAAATGGGTGGGGTGGGGATCCCGCCACAGAGAGGTGAGAGGGGTCAATTCTTCTTCCTAACAATCCTGTTCGTTTGGGTCACTTCCCTACCATGTAGGTGGCATATGCTACTGGAGCACTCGCCAAGGCAGTGTATGAGAAGATGTTCAACTGGATGGTGGGGCGCATCAACGCCACCCTGGAGACCAAGCAGCCGCGTCAGTACTTCATAGGGGTCCTCGACATCGCTGGCTTCGAGAGATCCGAGA